GAGCTCGATGCCAGAAAGGGGCTTAAAACGTACGGACTAAAGACGTCCTCGTCTTCCTCTCCAGCCAAAAGGTCTATGGAGCCAAAGCCAAAGACTCCTTGTTCAGGGCTCATCAACACGTTGTTTCCCGTACCGACACATTTCACATCTGGAAGGAAAAAACATTATAAGCTGTTAGCAACATGGATTCTGATCAACCAGGGAAACATGATGTTTTAACAGTTTGTAAAATAGATCTCTATCTCCTCTTCAGCCAAAGTTTGCCTCAATATAATAAACTGTGTAAAAATTGTCTCTTGTTGAGAGGCTCCAAATCAATTTGTTTTATGTTTCTTCTAAATGTTAAAATACATTTTATTATGCAAAATAACACCTCAATATGTGATCTGACCAAACTTAATGGAAGAGTGTATACTTTTTCCCTTCATGCAGCTAACTTTAAAAGAGATGTGAAATGAGCCTCTCACCCACAACCCAAACAGAGAACCTTGTTTACTAAATCTGTTCACGGCATCATTATAGTTTCTGACTATAACAGTAACTCAAGTGTCTCACACAGGACACACAGTCCCCTTAAATGAAATAGATACCAACCAGCCGCTCACCACATTAATGACTGCTGAGCGTTTTAACAGTTTAACATTCGTCGTTCTGTATTAAGAAGCCAGGTGGGATTTAACCACAAGCCCCCCCCCCAGAGAGAAGCTGGTCATTTATACTTTGGTTGGTAAGTGAGTAAACTCCACCAGACACTCAGTCACAACAAAATGAAAAAAATCAGAAAATACAAAAACTGGATGTCTTCCCAAATAATGGCAAGGCCGCCAACTCAGATTGCTATTGTCCCCAAAACATAAAAGTGATAAAACAAATCCAGAAGGTTTCCTACAGAACTTAAAGTATTGCATCCAAACATGTCGGTCCTCATTAAGAACCATATAGAAAACAGAATTACAGTTACAGATGTACTCACTCTCTTTGCTGGGTGTGAGGAAACGCACGATGGGGGAGTAGATTTTTCTTGCTGTTGTGTTCTGTGGGGTCACAGGGTCGATTTCTGACAGAATGCGCTCATGGCGCATGATTGGAGTCTTGAAGGCCATATCTGTCATTAAAAAATATATTTTTTTTTTTAAATCGCAGGGAACAGTGTAAGGTATCACATCCAGAAAAAACTTCTTGTGAAAACTTATAATGAGCATTATTGAGTATAATTTGGAGCTGCAAAAAAAAAAAAAATCACCTGTTTCTCTATCATCCACAGCCATTGCTCTCTTCCTGGGCCGACCGCAAGCCCGCCTTGTAAGTGTCGGAATTTCTTCATCTGATTGGTGAGGGTCATTTTCCAAGGTGTCATCATCCTTCACAGCAAAAAGTAAAATCATTTTTAACTATTGGAAAGAAATGCCCTTATTTCCTCCAAAAAAAGCTGGCTTTTCTAGTTTATTTCATTTCATTCCTTCTAAGTCCTACAATATAGAAAAATACTTTTTTGCCTTTACAAGGAATGAAAAGGTGCAGGAGGAACACCTGCCCTTAGGAAAAAGTAAATAGGGAAAAAAAATCTTGTACTACTATTGTAGTTCTTTTTTTCTAAAACACTTAAATACATTTACAATTGCATGAGTATCGTGTGAGTACAATCCACCACACGCTTAACATAGGAAAAAGAAACAAATCATTCAGGTCAACTTTAAGAGCTGACCAATTCAATCCAATCAACTTCAACATACAGTCATTCTTCTGCCTCATAATGGGCAAATATTTCTTGACATAAAACATTTTGAATTGTCGAGTGTTTACACAGCAATGTAAGTCTCTCTCTTGACAATTCCATAATTTTACTCAATAAATTGTAGAGGTGGGGTAAAAAAATCAATACAGTATAGTATTGCAATATTTTGTGTGCAAGGCAGCCAAGTATTGATTTTTTTAATAAGATATTTTAGATATGCTTTTTACATTTCTTACTGCTGAAGGGGTTGCGCAATTCATTTTGAACAAGTTGCAGTGTTAATGATTTATGTTAAAGTTAGATTAGACTGAAATACAAATAAAAAAGTGAGATGAATAGACTGAGAATGTTTTATTCTCCTCAACATATCGTCATATATAAACTGGGGAATTGTATCTTACATAAATGTAAATTACTGAAGGGTAAAACATTCACCTGAACGCTAAAATAATCAATTAAAGAAGCAAAGCCGTTTCACTTAATCAGCCTAATAGCTGCAAAAACATACTGATATCAACATACATACACGACTTTTATCCTATTATTCAAATGCTTAACTACAAACCAGTACCAGAACGTCTCTTTAACCTTGTTTGGAATATGAAACTGTCTCTGCTGTCCATCCAATGTATATTACTTTAGTTTGTTTTTCTATAATTCCACTACATCAAAGACAAAAAGCTCACTGAGTTATACTGCCCTACAAAGGCAAAAGGCAGTAACTTCCATTTTTGGAACATTACAGATGTGCTTTATCATGTGGACAAATATCTTGAGTCAATTGTGTTGTTCTTTTTTTGAGAAAATAGTAGGCTGTATTTGCCTTAACTTCCAAAAGCCCTCGAGAAAACCAAGGCAGAGTGCAGTAACGTCACTCATCGGGGTCTTTGCCTTTGTATTACAGCTGAAAGAACGCTCAAACTGAGTTAAGGTCTTCTGTCTTCGTTTTGCTGCGGATCAAAGTGAAGTTACTGTTTCACTGCAGTGGAGTTAAGGTGTTATGCTTTTGTTTTAATATCTGTCATATGGCACTTAACCGTGCCATGATCACTAGATTTCATGTTATCATTATTATCATATACTGATTTAATATAGTGACCAGCAACCAAGGGAGCTATCAAATGGAAGTTAATGCCTTTTGCCTTGGCATGACGCCTTATTATTGTGCAGGCAATGCAAAGGCAGAGTACCTTAACTTCCAAATAAGGGTCAAAAGTCATGTTTGACCTCAAGATTTTTTTTATGTACATTAATAACCTGATTAAAAAGACAAAGAATTACCACATTTCCAATATTCTGGCTGCAACTCATTTGGCTGGACAACAAAAAGACTTTAAGGTCTTTGTAGGGGCCAGCATAAACAGCAGACATGCTGCAGTCCTGAGTGTTAAACAGTCTGCATGCGTGAGTCCTGATGACCTACTTTTTACATTGGACCTCTCACTCACATGCAACTGTGCTGTTTTAAATCCTCCTCCAGACAAAACGTCACAGGGCGAGCTGCCTGCCCCTGGCACAGCATTACAGGGGGAGATAATGAGGACGGGGGGGGGTCTACTTGTTGCCCTGACTTCTTCATACTAGTGAAGTGACAGTAAACACAAAGTAACTCACGTTGTCCGTTTACAGCAAACACAAAACAAAGTCAAGAGGCCCCCTACTGTCCCAACACTAAAATCACTACCGTGTTGTTGTGTGTGTGTGTGGCCTAGCTCACACTACCTACAGAGGAACCGGAAACGGTAAGCACTGAATGAGGTCACTACAGCGATTATCACCACTAACATATAAAGCGACGCTGACTGTTACAGGGGTATTGGCTGAAGGTAATCGTCGGAAACATGTTTCGTGTTACCTTTCTTTGAAGCTTTGGGCTTTCTTCCCTCGATAGGTGCGCTCGTCTCGGGGTCGCTTTGTCATCCCGTCGGCGGCGGCTCCTCCGCGGCGACTCACAGCAAGTTTCGACGGTTCTTTGAGACCTAAGTCTCATTGTTTTTTCTTCAAATGGAACTTACAGACATGAAACTAGAAACTGGTCCGCTGTAATGGAGGTAATAGCTCCGATGTTTTGCTTTTCTTTTTCCGCCAGATTAGGTTAAACAGTAGAGCGCAGTGTGTTTGTGTGGCTCCGCCCGCCCCGCTCGATCCCCTTGTCTTCTCGAATCAGTCAGTGTGTTTAAATCTGCCGGGCTGTGATAGGTTCACACGGCGAGGGGGCGTGGCTTCGGAAGACTCCAGCGTCAAAGTGAGACGCGAGGCACGTCCACAGTCTATGGGCACGTTGCGTAATGATGATGAGACGTCAGCATCTAGATCAATACAGAAACCCTAATTGTAAAAGCATTCTCCCTCCGAAAAAAACAAACAAAGAATCTCATTTAAATAGCAGTATAAGTTTTGTTGTGCGGAAAATACCAGTTAAAATAGGCCTATATGATAATAATTTTTTCTACAAAAGAAAACCTGAAAAAATTAGGAAAACAATTGGGTCTTTTAATTTTTGTAACTGCTATTAAAACAAATATAAAAACATATTTCTAGTTTTTTTCTGCAATATACTGTGTAATAGGTTAATACTAAAAATGGCTACTTTTAACATGGGTATTCTGATCAAGTTTTACTCAAATTCTTGCTCATCATACTTCCTAAAAAAAAAAAATCTAACTTTTACTTGTTATTACCATAGACTGTAAATATTAATTATGACGTATTTAAAACTGCAGCACTCTCTAAGGTACAGGCACTTAATACTTTTCTACCCAATAAAAGTCTTTATTGCAAGATTTTGGCTACAATACTATATTATAGTATAGAGCATCAGACCCATATCATCACTGCATTTGTTCGCACCATCCTTCTGTTAAATGTGATAACATTTTGATCAGTTTTCATTCTCTGTAATTTGACAACACAGTGATGAGTGCCTCTGTAAAAAAAAGGAACCGTTGTGCTATTACATATATATTTATTAATACAGTTATACTACAGTTATTAATGTATTATATATTAATGTATTATATATAATGTATTAATTATATATTAATGTATTATACTTCACTTATGCAGAGGACATTTTGAGTTGAATTACTAAAAACATTTATGGCAACTCATTTTTTATACAGGATCAAGTTTTTGAGAATGAGATGAACAGATTCTCACAGCAGGCATAGTTTTACTAACCATTTGAAAGGGAAGGAGCATATTTGTTAATAGTGACTGACAGGTTTGCTAACGTATTGTAGAATGAATAGATAACAAACAAAGCTGTGGTGACATTTGAGAAATGTGATATTTTATTCATTTCAGATTCAAAATAAAAGTATTCACACAAACACATGTTGAGTAAATAGGAAAGAATAGCTCTCCACCCTTCAAAAATAAAGAAAAATAAAATAAAAATAAAAAGTTGCATTGCCCGCTGCCACTTCACTGTTCCTGTGGTTACCGGGAAACATCCCATTCATCAAAAAATTAAATCATGTATAGAAAAAGAAGGAATAAGCACACATGAATAGAATAGACTGAAAAGAAAAGTTGCAGTACTAACAGTGGTACTAGCGGCAGTACTAGTATGAAGTATTAGTATTTGAGCTGGAGGTTCCCTGTGTTGATGCTTAAATAAATTTAACAGCAGAAGCATTACAAACCTGATACACAGAGAAAGACAGAAAGCAACAGTGTCCAAAATAAACGTCTTAGCTCGCACCGACATGACGACAAATACATCTTTTGCTTTGTTTCCAGCCAAGACAATAGAGACTCAACAAAATACTTGTTTTTCAATATGATTTCATGTGGTTCATGAGATTACAGCTACATCTAAAGTAATGTGCTGCTATGTGGAAGTTTATTCTGAACCCTGCATGGCGCCTGTCATCTCTTCCTCTCTGTGTACAGGCTTAACTGTAACGTGAGCCCTTCCTGGGTTAAATGCATCAAACTAGAGGTAGAGGTAGATTTTCCTGAGAAGTTGTGAAAGACAAGGGTCTTGATTCAGTTCTGAAGTTAACTTGAAGATACATGAAAGCCCCCCTCACACTCACTCACTCGCACACACACACACACACACATCACATGCTTCCTTAAAATCATCACATTTTCATCGTCATCATTATCGCTACGATCTAAATGTAATCTCTGTGTGACGGGGCTGCTTCAGCAAATTCAGCAGAAAAAAAAGCAAAGAAAGAGCAATAAAACAATTATAAACATAATATAATTCACAGCCCTAAAAAAAAAAAAAAAAAAGCCATTTTCAGAAATATTCTATTTAATGAATCTTCGTAATAAAGGTTAATTCATACAACCATTGTCACAGCAGAAGGCATCTTGTTATTTCTCATAATGTTTCTTGTGTCCACCTGAGTCAGTGTTGAAGTCCATTCAAAAGCCCACATGCACCCTGACCCATAAATGTTCCAGCCAATGTCCACATCCCCAACATGAGTGACCAGGAGTCAGACTCACTTTTTTTCTTATATACAGAAGTTCATGAAGTTACAGCTCTGGTGGGAAGTAAAGCAGCAGATTCCGTCAATGACTTTCTTTCAAATGACATTTTTTGACACAGAGCAAGCAAGCAAACGGTTGCGGGTTTGTGTTGATTGGAAGCTCAGATAGCCCCTTAAAAAGCTTGATTTTTCTTTTTCTACAACTGCATATAGTCAGGAAACCAAACTCCAAAACATTTCGCTTTAGAAAATGTGAAGAAAATGAATCCAGCTTAGTCATGGTTATAGCCAGACGACAGCACTTTGAATGAATTCCCAGCTTCTTAACTGCACACATAAATATTGAAACACAATAACAAATATAACAAAGAACTGCAGACAGAAAGCATTGTCCATTGTTACACCACTTGCAAGTCCTATGAGTTAAATCAGCACAAAGAAGACACATGGATGAAGCTGACAGCATTTAGAGAGAAATAAACCAAAATCTGTTTAAAAAAAAAGAAGAACAGTTGTATGACTAACAGAGTTTTCTTAGTTTGATTGTTCCTCCCTTAAACATCAGCTAAATCTGACATAAAGGAACACCTGTTCAGAACAGACATTTGATTATTGATTGACTTGCTGCATTTTCTTTTGCAAGAGTAAATGATCTTTTTTCAGGATTATTGTCTTGAACAGAGTCGGTTTCCAGTGGAGTATTTCACTGCCCTGTGATGATCTCAATACTGTTTCAAGAGCTTTGTAGCCTTAACAAGAACAAAAGACTGGAAACACTCGAAGAAAAGGAAGATATGAACACTGATATTATGTCTTTTCAGGAAACTGATTGTGCGTCATAACAAAACCTTCCACTAGAGGGAGCGCTTGGTAAGGAGGTAAGAGCTTGAGCTGAAACATGGCCTTCACTGCCATCCCAGGTTCCATTTGCATAAATTAAATTGATTAAAGGTTAAATTATTAAGCAGATATCTGATTGTCTGTGTTCACTGCAATCTCTTACATCGTCAGAATAGTCTTTATGAACCATTATCAACAACGTTGCATGAGGTTTTCCTGCATAAACCTTCAAAAAGCTTCTTTGTTGTGGGAAAAGCAAAGACATCAACAAAAAGCGTTGGTTTTTGAGGTAGGAACAGGGCTTCGACCGGGGGTTGAGGGGATGTCAAAGTGTGTTTGGAGGTATACAGTGTTGTCATAACATCTGATTGTCCCTAACGCAGAATTAACAAGATGCCAACCTTCCCTGAAATGATTGCCGTGCACAAACTGAAGGAGAGAGAGCGAGCGAGCTGCAGTACCTCCACTGTTCATATACAAATATCTCACAAAGCCGATCGACGGTTATACGATAAACATGGATCCATTGAAGGGGGCAGGTGCTTGAATGTTGCCTCATAGGCCAAAAGGTCACAGGGTCAAATCTAAGAAAAGCAGTGTTGATCCTTTAGATCAGTATTGATTTAATTTAGCCATCTCAACCGGCCTCCCCCTCGAGCTAATGCTTTCAGCCAGAGCAGGTCTCTGTTTGATTGTCAGTCACTTCAAGCAACTGTGACATCTGCTCCCCCTGAAGACAGAGACCTGCTGGGCTCTCTGTGTTCTAGCAGGAAAAACACTTCTTTTAGTTATATATTAGGTTTAAAGCAGCATCTGCTCGCGCAAGTGAATCAAAAAGCAATAAAGCTCAACAATTTAAATGGGGTTAAAATCCGTTTTCTTTTTAAATGTCTTATTGTCAAAGCTCAGTACACAGTTTGAACAGCATGTGCACACCACCATCACAGTAGAGATTATGTTGCTTTACTCACAAACGTAGAAAAGAACCTTACTATTTAATGTAATAACTTATGATATATATTACTGTACCACCTAGAGTGTATTTTATTTGAAAATAATAAGCTAGCCTTTGTAATAGAGCTGAAAAAAAAAACCTTAGTGACCGAGCAGCCTTATAAATAAGGATAACGCTAAATCTTCAATCACAATGAAGAGAAATATAGAACCCAAGAAACAACAATCCTGCTAAATGCTAACTAGTAGAGGAGCAAATATTTCCATATGAGGCTTGAGGAAATCATTAGATTTCATGTTATTGAAATAACTAGAAATTAGATATGAAAATGCCTTTAAATAAAATGAATTTAACAGGCTTTATATTTGAATCTACTGAAAGTACATTTCCCTTTTGATTGTTCAAACTTATAGTTTGATGAAGGCATGTTTTCTTTCCAATTCTGTTTGGTCTGTGACAATCATTTACGATCAGAATAAGGCATACATTTAAGGTCCATTAGCTTACAAGCCTGTTACATACTTCAGCCAAGGCTTTTTTTAATAAGTCGTCTTTGTGAGGAAAATGTTGATGTCAGATTCAACAAGATGAGATCTTGCCAAATAAACAAATGAACAAAATGTTTCCTGAATCCGAGTAAAGTATCATGAGAAGCATGCTGAATCATAAGAACAGCATCTGATGTCTGCATATGTCTCTGAACGACAGTAGTCTGCAGTTTAAACCTGAACAGTGTTTGTGTAGCAGCTGGTGGAGATTTCCCACCAAGAGAAGAGTTCTGAATCAAAGCTGCAGCAGGTGATATTTGACTTGAACAGTAAAAAGTGATTAGTCAGAGGTACTGCTCCTTCTACGGAAATCTCATGCTGAGTCAAGGCCTCCGAACACAACCCACATACAAAGCCTGATTTACTTCCCAACAGTAGGAATGAGGCTGCTTTGCGTAGCGGTGGGCTCAGGGATGGGTGAGGGGAGTGAGTAACAATCGTCAGCAGCCAACAGTCCAGAGAGGTAACACAGGTTAAAAGTTCAAAAAGCTCAATGATTGATCTGCTTCTAAATGCACTTCTACAAATGAGTGATATGGTATCTCCACTGTGGCTGATTTTTCTTTAATACACTGCAGTGACACAGCGCTCAGCTGCAGCTCTGATTAACCTTGAGCTCACATTGTCAAACGCCCCAAATGAAGCAACAATAAAAAACAGTCAGAGGATCACAAGACATTCTCCGTTATATCCTCGATCCGGTGGCAAGCTAGTCTCAAGGAGACCCTGTCCTTGTCACAGCTCAGGACATCAAGCACTTGGATCAGAAGAAGCCCTAAGTCATGCAAAACACAAAGCTGAAAGAAAAGCATCCGTAATCTATGATACAAAAAAAAAAGCACAAAAAATGTCAGCTGAAATAACTGTCGAGAAAAGTTTCTTCTGAAGCTCAGAAAGCTGCTCCAGACACCTGATTGTCCACGTGAGTCTCCACAGTAATACGTTTAGTGGATGAACAACTTCTGTGAATTTAAGACAGGAAATGACAGCTTTCCTGTTTCACTCCTGAGGGGCTTTATGTACAAATATGGGCATGCATGTAATCTTAAGACAATCACTCCTCGAGAAGGCCAAGTTAGTGAAAGGATAATTTTTTTGATCTTTCTGCCAAGGATGAAGTTAAAAAAGCATTGCTCTGTCAAAGAGATGAGAGGACAGACACCTGAGAAACATGTGTATTATTCACAACAGCAACAGTCTCTGACAGTCCAGCGCTTGGGGAGAAAAAAAGCTTAAGAAAAGCTTTAGTTCATTTAGTTCACTCATACAAATAACCTCTTTGAACACCAAGCTTGACAAACTACCTGCAAGATCGACATAGATATGCATTGAACTGGCCTTACGTCAACAAACAGGCAAAGACTTTAAGATATAAATCAGCCAGTTATCTCAGGAGGAAGAACCACGACAACTGCTTGACCATTAGCAGCTACGCAGCATTCTGGCTAATTAGCTACTCCTTACTCTGGCAGCGGTTGATAATAGATTAAATGTGTTACCAAGTCGATCAATATCCCTGCAGATTCTTAAACCCAGTTGCATTACATTTGTGTTTCACTGGTGAATCGATGACACCAGACTCGCTCTTCCACACACAGCTCCGTAACGGCTGCCATGTGAATAAGGTTATAAGGTTTTACATAAAATGAGGTCACAACGGTACATTGTTTTATGCCCTGAAGAAAAAAAACCATAAACCTTTAAAGCTATTTTGATTAAAATAGAGGATATTCATATTTTCTTTTTTAGAATTCTAAATATATAGATATTTTTTTTCCTGCAGTGAGAGGATGGTTAAAGATTTGAATGATAAACACAATAAAGAGAATGACAATAATGATAATAATGACAATGAAAAGATAAAATAAAATAAAAATATCTCTCCTCTAGAGGATAAAACATCGATGTCAATCAGTAGCTGTGTTTCTGTGTGTAAACAGTGCATTACCCTTCCCAGTTATTAACTTCTCTTTTGTTCCAAGAATCTGTACATTTATGCAGAAATAAATAATTCACAGGTTGTGCATACATATTTGTTTAGCATATACTGGCTCTCAGTTGAGACGTCGTTCTTTTTTTTTTGTCCGAGATCATTTTGGCTATGAAGAACAAAAGAGGTGAGTTGGTGAGAGAAAACCTGAGATAGTGTACTTCAAGTGATCTGAGTTTCAGTTTTTTTGTCTTTCTGTTAAAGTTTACGGTGCTTCTCTTTTTTTGGCATAGATTATGTAGAAAATGAGGTTGCTTTTTGGCTTTGTTTAGCGTGGTAATTAAAAAAAATAATAATAGCAAAGGGTAAAGGCAGAGGGTTGTTAAGACAATGAGTTGCTGGAGGTTGAGGTTGAGGTTGAGGTAGGTGTGTTTTGCTGCTGCTGAGGAGCGACACGACTGCTGACTGACTTGTTGGAGAGGGACGAACCGGACGCACCGGAGAAGACTGAACCCACTGCTGCCTGAGCGAAAAGAACGCCTAGACAGATAAAGACACAAGAAACCAGAAACATCAAAGTGTGAATACATCATTAATTATTCATAGTTTAACCATTAGAGGAAAACACATTTGGTTTCTTTCTGTAAACTTTTTGAGTATGTTCCAACCCTTAGTATGAAATAGGTTCTCTAAGGGTTAATATCACAGCGTTCAAGCACTAAACTCTATCCAGGCATAAATATCCAACAATGCATACAATGAAAATCACATCAGCATTACAGGTAGCATTGTTGTAATCATTAAAGAAAGTTTAAAATGAACTAAACAAAGACCTTGTCCTCCTTTGTATGCAAACGGCGGCATTAAGTTTATTGCTCTGAGCACCCGATTATAATGGAAAGCAACCTAAGTAAGTTGTCTTTTCTGTCAGGTCTATGGTGGCTACACAGGAGGTTTAAAAATGAAGCAAATCTAACACTGTGACAACAAGGGTCACTGCACCCTGCCATTATGAAATAGTTACACCATGTTACTCCTCCTGAAACCTCAGACTTGTTTGAGTACAGATTAAACAAACAAGATATGAATAACATGGTTATAAGTCATCTTGAAGTTGTTTAGCCCCTTCTACATGCCAAGCTGAGCTAACTCTGGCTCACACCCCCTGCTTGAAACACAGACATAAGAGTTGAAACTAAATGATGTTACTGATGAAATCAAAGGTCATTAACCATAAGGAGGGAGGATGTGATCATGTGGTCTTGCTGTGCTTCATGTTAGTGATGCTCACCAGTGTAAACCACTCCATTGAGCTCCACTGACATGCTGATGCTGCTTGTGCCGTTGGTGGTGAGGTTCAGAGCAGAGTCCTGCCTGCTGTCTGTAAAGAAGACAACAACAAAGAGAGCTGTGTTTGTAACACCCAACCACTAACATGGTACTTTTATTTAGATCAAAAGCTGCAAAAAGTCTCTCTAGCTCTAGTCCAGAGTTGAAATGTCCGTAATTTCATCTATAAAACAAAAGAACAGAACATACGTCTCTCTCTCTTTCTTCAGTCCGTGTATTGCAAGTCTGTGGACTAACACCTGAAACTGGTTTAAACCCAACTCAGAAATGATCTCAAACTTGCACATTTACAACATTTAAACAACGTTTCTGTGAAAAGATTTGCTTCCAGATAAGAAAAAAACATGATTCTGATGGATTTTTCCACTAGAGGTACCGGTAGCCTAGCTGTTAGTTAACGTGCGCCATGTACAGAAGATGTAGTCCTCCAAGCGGGCGGGAGGCCTGGCTCTGATTCGGGCCTGTGGCTCCTTTCCCACATGTCATTAGCCACTGTCTCTTGTCCTGATTTCTGACTCTATGCCTAATAAAGGCAGTAAAATCCCCCAAATAAACCTTTTTTCAGGTTTCCAGGTATATATACTGATTTGCTTCTGAAGGTACACAAACTTCCAGTTCATCGTTTCTCTGAAGTTACTGATATTATCATTACTGAGAAACAGTTTGCATGTTCTATCAGCTAACCAAGACAAACGTTAGGAACAGAGAATCTGTAGCAGAAGGGAATCTCCCTACATTTACATGCTTACATGTACTGTATGCATGCATACTGCTTCTATAAGGTAAACAGGTCCACATATAGACCCGCTTTGTGTTGACTTTCTCACTGTCGGCTGCTGTGGTTTGTGGCTAGATGATGAAAATGCCATATCAACTGTCGGGAAAGGTGACTGTGTGAAACCAGCTACATGTAAATTCTCATGTAGAACAAAGACCTCAAAATCCATACTGACTCTCCACACAAACTATTGATATGTATAAATGTGTCTCTTTTTAAGCTGATAAGGAATCTTGAAAAACTCCCTTTAAATACAGAAAGCTGGGAATTTAAAAAAAATTCTCATCTGCTTTAGTATTTTTAAAAGCAGGTGGATCCCCCTTGATGAACAAACCTGTGCTGATTGATTATTAAGACGGCACTCTGCATGTACATTTAACACTGATGCAATGTCATTGATCAGCAGAAGTTACACTTTTTGTGCAGATGATATGCATATTTCTCTGTCTGTTAAACCTTGTGCTTTTCCAATCTGCTCAAACATGTCAGTCAGGCAAAAATGTATGTATTCACTTCTTAAAATCTAACAGAGCAAAAACATTAGAGACATTTTCAGATTGCAGATGACATGAATCATACATTTGGAAATCAATGTGGGGACACAAACATGCTTCTTTAAAGTAAAGTTAAAAACAGGGGTTCATATTTCCACTTCTGTTGATAAGATAATCTATCAGTGTAGTACCTTGGTTGTTGATGCGGATGTTCATGGGTATCTGAGCCGTCATTGCCAGCAGGTTATGTTGCAGCGCTCTCTGCAGCAGTCGGTGGTGGTCCTCGGCTGGCAGTGCCATCTTCTTCTCCGGTGGCTCGCCAGCCTCCAGTTTGTCCCTCAGCTGCTCCAGAGCCGCCACCTGAGCCACCTGAGCAGCCATCGCTGCCTGAGCTGCTGCTGCTGCCTGCACAGCAGCCACCGAGTGTCCTGCCAAGGCCCCTGCCTGCAGACGAGCCATACTGATCCCCTGCAACGGATGGCCTCCCTCCTCTTCTGGTCAGACAGAGAGATAGAGAGAGAGAGAGAGAGAGAGAGAGAGAGAGAGAGAGAGGGAAAGTTAGGTCAAAAAAGGGTTGATAGACAACCGAATTTGATGTAGATGCTGGTTAAAGAAGAGCACATTTAATTTTTCAATTTTATTAAACAGGAAATATTTTAATTTACACAAAAATAATACTTTTTACAATGTCTGCTTTCTAGTGTTACATTTAATTTATTTTGTTTCAATTTTAATCTACACTTTATTTAACCAGGAAGGCCCTTAAGATAGTACATGTAAGAGTAAAGAAATACCCATTCACACACTTAACTCATCGACTGTGATTTTCTGACTGGAGCTCATGATGTGACAAGAATGATGTAATTAAAAAAAGTGAATCCAATGTGTTGTAGGTACACAATCATACACAAATGTCACCTTTCTTGATCTTATGGATGGGGGTCAGTGAAGCCCCGTTGGTGCCAACAGTCATGCCCATACTGGAGCTAGGGAGCTTGGGTGAGGAGAGCATGGTGGGCGTCCCGTTGGGCGAGTACGTGAAGAGGGAGCTGCCGAAGCTCTGGCGCCGGCCCTCTCTCCGATTACTGTCGATGGCTGCCTGGAGCTCATTGGGGTTACTCAGACCCCTTCTATCACATTCATATGGGTACAGGTACTTCATGTATCTGGAGAAAACACAAAAGACATACAAAAGTTTTTCGGGGATCGGGCTCGACTAGAAGTCATCTTTCAGGAGAACACGTCTGACTCTGCTGCTTATGGCTATATCAACAGCTTGTGTGTAAAATTTCCAAAACATAATGGAGGTCATTTAAAAGCTTAAAGGAGGTAAAATACTAAATCACCCCTTTAAACATCCCGTAGATTTTTTAAGTAAAATCTTAACCTTTAATGTTTTGGAGTGATGGACACAAACTATAAGTGAAAAAATAAAATATTCTTGAGGATAATTTAAAAAAAAAAAAATGCAAGTGTCATCCTCAGGGGAAGAGATTTATGGTGCAGCCAATTTTGAGTGAGAACTTGCCGCTGTCTAAAACAACGACAGGAGGGGTCTTCTATCACACGGAGTAAATGGTTAACTACATTTTTGTGGAAATCTGAAAGCTGGCAGAACTTCATGATGAAATGCTAAGCAGTCCAACAAAAAGGAATATGTGAACAAGTTTCAAAATCAGTTGTGTTGTTTAAGATGAAAGATTGTGCGTGTGTTTGAGTGTGTACTGACTGTGTGCGGAGGGTGAAAGCTGCACTAGTGATTGAGGTAGGCAGGCTGAGTCCCTTGGTGATCTCCCTCCATAATTTCTTGTTGATGACCTCCACAAGGCCGCCTTTCTCCGTCACCAGTCTGTAGAGCATGTACAGATCCAGGACCTGCTTGGCCATGATGGGAATACGGTTCACTGGAGTTCCTGGTGTAACACGTACCAAAACACACACAAACGCACGCACAAAAACACACAAACCCAGAGGGAAGCGGTCAACACAGGTTAAGAAAACATAACAATGCAGGAAACTTCTTTTCATGTTGACAGCATGAAGCTTCCTGCACATACGCAGTCCGTGGGAAAGATTAAACATATATTAAATATCCAACAAAACAAAACAAATCTAACAATAATCATGACGCTTAAATAGAAACTATATAATCAATATAATCATAGTTAAAAACAAGATCCTAATTCAACAATACCATACGTACATTTAAGCAAGTCTACAATTAATGCAGCAAAAATGATACTGTGCATGTTTGAAAACAATCCCAGTGCAGTCCACAGCGTTCTTCATGGCTACATTTAGAGGTCACTTTAAAGACTGAAGTAGCCAATCACATGTCTTATACTGACTGACATTCAAGATGAGGCTGCTGGGTTAAAGTCACTTGAGCAGGGCTGATTTTTGTAACAATTCCTCTTATAACTTTAAAAAAAAAAAAAAAACAGTCAAGAGCAGACTAATGTGAGCAACAGTGCATGTCTATTAAAGGCACGTGAGCAGGGAATGAAATAAGCACCTTCCACCTCTCAAAAACAGAGTAAATATATGCTGTTGCAGGCAAAACGCAGGTCACCTGCAACTTTTTTTTTTTTTCAAGTAAATAATTATTTTTACAAAACAATTCTTATTCAACAATTGTAAGCAGTGGTTATATTCAACATCTCTACTGCCATGCACGATTGACTCAGTGTGTACAGCTGTCAGATCTTCAACACTAATTTCAGAAGTTAAAAAAAACTGTGCTGCCATTCGATACATTTAGTGAGCTTCCACAGTGGAAAGGAAATACCTAATTTCACACCCTGCCTTAGAGTGATAAAGGATTGCATAAGGGAAAAAGGGGAAAAGAAACAACCCGAACCCCCACCAAAAGGACAGGAAGATCCCTGAAAATGCTGTTTTATTATTTATAGTAGTCGAGAAAATGTAAATGAGTTGATATTTTTAATTTACCATCAAGTGAACTATAATTTAAATGTCTTTTAATGTAGGAACGGTTTTTGTCAGGTTGACATTGCTCAAACTATTTTCATTAAAGTGGAGATTTTGGGAAAATACCGTTGGACAAAATCGAATCCATCCTCATATCTTTATATTATCTGTGAAACATGTTTTTTTTTCCCCAGCAAAAGATTTAAATCTCTGAGAAAAATCCTCGATCCTGGTATTGCATATTGGAAAGTAATGCTTCAGTTATATGTACGAACAGCAGATGGCGCTCTCAGATCTCCAGAGTGGACTCAGATCCGCCCATTGCAGCTCTGACACTGTAAACATTTATGCTGCTTTTCATGTTTTGAGCACGTTTGTCGTCTCTTCTCTGCTTTGATTTAATCGTTTTTTTAATTTAACTTATTAACAAACTAGAATCGACTCATTTCACATTAACAAGCAGCTTTGTATTCATGAGACAGAAAACAACTTCTATAAGCCTTTGGGTAATTTTGTTTTTCAATAAAATTGCTAAAATTGCACTTTTTGAAATTGTCCGTAATAATCTGTAAATGTAACAATGAGATGTCTGAATTGCGAGAAAAATTAATTAATTCAATAAGACTGCAGCTCTGATGCTTTGTGGGACACTGGTGTGAAGACTCTACATGGTTGCAGGGTCAGTATGTGTGTGTGTGTGTGTGTGTGTGTGTGAATCATAATGTAAACTAATCCACTCCCAGGCATGATACGATGTGTTCTTTCTCCTTTTAGCCTGGGAACGACGAGGAGCTGTGAGGCTATAAAGCAATCATCTCTGAAGTGAATAAAGACCCCACCCAAGTGGGTGAAAGAGGAGAAGAGTGTGCTGTGTCATATGTCAGAGAGATCAGGAGGAGGGGCGGGGGTGTCATCCATCTATAACATTTTACTATTTATTCTTTCAAGTACACAGAAATAAAAATGCAGAGATATCAAATTCGAGGGACAAGAATGAAATGTAATTATGTTGAAACACTGAAAACAAAACTTCTGACTAGTTGATCGATTTGAAAGCTTATAAACCGACACACACGCGCGCACACACACACACGCACACACACACACACGCACACAAACACACGCATACACACACACACACACACACACACACACACACACACACACACACACACACACACACAGATCTGTACCTCTTTTTTGCATGAAGCTGAAGAGGGCATCCAGAAACTCTTTCCTCTTTGGGTCTCTGTCCAGTTCATACAGCTGTGGAGAAGCAGAGAAGAGGGAGAGAGATGAGGCCACAAGTTCTCTCTTTATTTTCCTAAAACAACATTCATTTAAAGAGCAGAGTGTCCTTCTATCAAAAAAAAAAACAATGTTAACCACTATTAAATCGATGAAAGGAAATGTCCCATTCGATCTGTGCCACAATATCTGACAGCAAGATGACCACAAAACAAAATGAACACATGGACATTCATTCGTTTTTGTCACGGTAACCCAAGCCTTTTCATTCTGATCATAAGAGGAGATGACAGACACAAAGAGAAACTCCAAGAAATGTTAAGGGCCAGTCCCGCTTGATGAGATCCTGATGTGGGTCCAGCTGCCGGCGGCGGGGCCCCGGGCTCTGGAAAGTTCGGGGAAAGTTAGCAGTAAAAGTGGGGCGCCCTCTCAGGGGGGAGCACAGAGAGGCTATTGAGCCTGTGCTTGTTTTTCCAGCCGAGTTTACCAGTGTGATAGAAGAATAATGTTGTTGGAGGTCTTACAATGAAAGTCTCTTCTAGGTGAGTGAGCAGAGGTTCCGCTTCAAGACTCTTCCGTCTGACAACAACATCACACATTGACACGGCATCTGTGTGAAGTCAGTCGGTTTCATAATCTGTTATTGAAAATGGCAAAGGTTGTGATACAGAGTGTGCAGCTGAGTACCACCAAACAAAAGCATGGTATTGTTTCTGTACAGACACAACAGCTCACAGCTAGTGGGCAGCGCCACAGCTCAGCCTCATAGTTTACTGCAGACTGTTTCACGCCACATCGCAGGAGAAGACTTCAGACTCACCGCACAAAATCATTTCAAACAGCTGAGGGAAAATATCATCTGACTGAAAACTAATCAACATCAGTTTATTGATCAATGCCAAACATGCTTTGGTTCTTTCTCTTTAGAGGTTTGCTGTTCCTATTATAAATCCAAAAAATATTTGAAATTGAATGTACCCGGTATTTGGATTTTGGACCTTTGCTCAGTTCAGGAGCTTGTAATCCTCACTTAGGGCTTTAGGAATTTGGAATGATTATTTTGTTCTCTCATTTGACTCGTTATAGATGAAATAAAAGTCCAATGTACAACTTAAACTTAGAAGCACTGTTCAACCAAGCAGACACAAGAGACAACATTCAGTTTTTTTAAAAACAAGTGTGCTGAATATTTACTGAATATTTACTTATACCAAGTAACTTACTATATCAAGTAAAAGTTTATTGAGAAGGTTGTGAATAAAAATCCTGATTTCAATCACTTAGAGCCTCCGATGTGACAGCTTGTTCTGTCTGACCAGGCGTTAAAAGCCAAAAGAGATTCCATTTACAATAAAATAAATAAAAAAGAGACTATGATACAAAATAATATTCTAATATTGGCATAGATTCTTTTTCTCAGGGTTTCTGGGTCTAAAGAGTTTAATAACAGCAACAGTCCGGCTTAGAACTACACAAGAAATGAGCGTTATCCAGCTCCATCAGAGCTTGACTGTCACTGTAATGATTAGTGAGTTTTCAATATACCTCTTTCATGTGATTTTGGGTTGTTTAGTCAATCGTATAACTTACTTTCAGTATTGTACTTTTAAAAAATTGCTTCATTGACTTGCAAAACGATCCTATGGATGAAATAAAATGTGCCTCACAATTGACAACTCCCATGATCCCCAAAGAGCTCCCATAGTGTGCACCAGAAGGAGAGGGGTGTTGCTGTTCTGTACATAAAGGTAGAAAAAAAAACACTTTTTGTTTGTTTTATTGATCATTTCACTGCGCTGCTGAAATGAAAATGAAGGGTTGGTCCAGCTAAAGGCTGATATGATGGTGACAGTAGCCGTGGCCTCTAACCACTAACAGACTGTCCCTCATTGTGGCATTCAGCCCTCATTAGTGACACCGCGCTGCCATCAGATCTTATTATCTGGAGGGGAACAGAGGGGTGGGGTCTGTGGGGTTGAGGTGGATGGGAGTGGTGGGGGATGCCAGCTAATGTACAGGCCTGCTGGAGGCAAAGGGGGAGTTTTAATTGCAGGATGCATGCATTTTGTGAAGTGCCGCATCATAAATCTTGGAAATTACCCTCCCTTTACTCCCATCCCCCAATGTAGCTTTATTTGCTCGCTCTCTCTCTCTCTCTCTCTCTCTCTCTCTCTCTCTCTGTCCTGATCACACAAACAAATACTCCCTTGTGGTGTGTTTAGAGATATGCCAAGTCTCTCCTCTCCTCCAGATGTGGTAAAGAAATGCAAAAATAGATGTGTAACATAGAATCGAAGATCCTCTATGACAACAACAAATGAATGAATACTAAATTAACTTTTAAAGCAGAGATTGTCCTGTGACGTTTATTTACATCAGTTTGACGATGTGCTCAGCATTACATTGATGGAAGATTAATCAGTTTCACTGCTTCCCTGCCAACTGAATGATCTGGACGTCTGCAGTGAAGAGTCTTTGGTGTTACAGCGAGTACGTCTGTATTTTTGAAGTGGGGTTGTATGAGGTACTAGTCAATAGTCACAGGAGGTGATGGTCAGCGTGGCCCCTTTAAGGAGAAACTGGCTTTAGTGCAGGCACAGAAGCTAGGCTATACAACTATGCAGACGAGGTCGTTTGTTTCACATAATTTAGCTGATTTAAAGAAAAAACTGAGCTAAAAAAACATCGTCAGGGTAAATATATGCGACACTGAAAAAATTAAGCAAGCCACTTGGTTTTAGCACTACTTCAGCACACCATGTACGTGGTCCTCCGCCAGCAGCGGGGTTGACAAGCACCTCATACAATCCCACTTTAAAATACCAAACGATCCCTTTAAAATGATTGCGGTATCCCTCTCACTAACGCATATTCAGATTCAAATCTTGTTTATTGATCACTGTGAACATGGACAGTAACCATGTTTGAATCAAAAAACATGCAACTATGATCAAAAACCATCTTCTGTTAATTTTCCTGTTCTGTTTGTGTCTGTGGACAACCGCTTTCACTTTGACAAATACTGGCATACATAAGAGAAATCAGGGAACGGAGATCCTTTCACCTACAGATGCATCTCGAAAATAATATATGCAGACTTCTGTGAACACTTAAGACAGTCCTTAACATCCAAACACAATCCAGTCATTTTAAAATGAATGTAATAATATACAAACAGCCACTGAATATATCTACATTAACTTAAATATTCTTTCAGAACAAGCTTTTTAGTAATGCTCTAGTTTTCCTACCCTGATAAGCATATAGTCATTCAGATTGGATGACATACATGGCTTTGCTGTAACACAACATTCACTGCATTTTGCGACTCTCACAATCACAACGCATTCTGCCAAATGTAGGTGTGGTATCGGTATTTCTTTAAAAATTAAAAAGATGGATTTGTTTTCTTAGTCTCCATAACTGTGACATCATATCCGATTACAGTGAAACAGCCAAAGTGACCTGAGAGCAGCCGAAACAGAAAAATAGCAGACAATGCATGCATTGTTGTTCTCCAACGAACCAGAGTATTTCAGGTTTTGAATAAAACTACAACTCTGAGTCATCCTCCAGCCGTCTCTCTGACTGAACCGGCTAATTAATCAGGAAAGATTTATTTATGGGGAAATAAGCAAACTGTTGTTCCAGCCTAACTTAAAGAAGATAATAAGTGGGGAGTTTTTGTCATGTCTGTCTCACCTTCTTGAGAAAGTAGGATTGATGGCTAAATACTTAGCGAGCTTACGTCATGAATATTTTGTTTTTGTTAAGGAAAGACTTCAAAACATCAGCTGCCATCCATACAAAGTGGACCGTGGTGTTTGTGTCCAGTGGAATGTGGGTATTTGTTTCAGGTTAGTGAATGTTCTTATAGCAGAGAGCTGCTGGGGTGATCATTGATTAATGTTACCTTAGAGTGTTTGTTTATTTAGCCGCACTGGGTACTATTGAAACACCTAAGACCAATCATATACTACATGGGGTGGCGGACTTGTCGCCCAGGTAACAAAGAAGACAGACTTGTCAGATGGTCGTCACAGAGAAAGTTAATTTGTAGGAAAGCTACAAGCAACAAGCTTGTAAAAAGAACATGCTGCTCGAATACCAAACACGTAAAAGACTTAAGAAAGAAGGAATAGATGGAAAATAACAGAGTGTGAGTTCAGTTATGACCACAAAAACACATCGCTCTTCATAAGATATGTTCACTTAAAACATGTTGACCTGTGGTTGGAGAGAAGCCAGTAATGGAGCAGCTGCATTATGGAGAGTAATAATTGTTGTAGGTCTGAGGCTTCAGTTTGCTGCTTTCAGAATCCTGTCTGACCGGCAAGACCACTACCACCCACCACCCCTAGTATATATGTTCTTTCTTTCTATCAGTCTTTATCTCTCCACCCTTTTTCCTTTCAGTCTTTTTCCATCTTTTTGTTTTACTCTTCTACAATTCTCTCCCTCTCTTGTCATTTGTCAGTCATTGTGTATGAGTTTCCCTCTCTTCCCAATAGTCTCTTCCACTCTCTCGGCCCATGTTTATAATCCTCATGTACATTACAACTCCCCAGTTGCTAGTAACCATTCACACACACAAACATGTACACGGTGACTTTATCAGGCTTAGGTGGGTGTGGTTTGTAGGCCTCTATAGGCTGACATGTCTATAGTATGTGCTGGGGCAGGGGGCCCCTATTGGATTAAAGCTTTGCTACTCAGATAAACTTCAAGAAACAAGATAAACCACGAGGAACTGGGCCAACTGGTAGTGCTGGGAGCCAGTTCATACCCCTTCACCAAATGCCGTGACACAAAAAGAGCATTAAAGCTGAAGAGCTGACCTACAAGACCAACATCTAAGAGGCTTTAGTGTATCTAAAAACTTTATTTTTTTTATCAAATTGAAGAAAAACAGCGGAGATCAGAGATAAGATTCGGGTGTTTATTTGCTGAAGAGGCTGAATTTTAGTGCTTTTGTGACAAATGGCAAAAAGTTGACCAAATGCAGTCTGGTTAGCTGC